AATAGAAGCAAGGAAAGGTCTTGCTTTCACACTCAATACTGGCTGGTAAGACTAATTTTGTCTCTCTTCTAAAAAGCAAAAAGCAAAAAGCAAAAAAAAAAAAAACAAAACCAAAAACCCAAAACGTTGTGTTTGCTTTTTTGCTGTATTGAGGCGCATACATTGAATTTGTCATTATTCTCAGATTAATTAGGCAAACTGGACGTCTCCTGAAAACTTTAAGAAAAAACTTCCCTGTAAAATTTAGTTGTTTTCTGACACAAACACTGCCAATGGCACATTCTGGCTAACTCATTCTGAGATCTTCATTGTGCTTACACTCATTGTCACTATTCCAGCCAGGAACATCCACTTAAATGGCAGTCTGTTAAGGCATTTTCACTACAAGCATTTCCCAGGCTATTGCTTGGAGCTGGTGGGGCTCAATGGGAATACAGACTCAACACGGGGAGACCCAGGCTTCAGTCCTGCATCAGAAAACCAAAATGGGCAAAAGCAGTTTGACATTCGTCTCTCCAACTTTCAGGTTGTAGGGAAACAAGTTATCAGCCATACAGAAACTCATTAGAGCACCACATGCTGCCGGTCAAGAATTATGTCTACAGTTTTTTATCTCACAGGAAGGCACCAACCATAAGAATAGATATTTTATCTGCAGTTATAAAAAAAAAAAAAAGCAAAGGCTTTGATTTAATAAACAGTGTCTCTAATGTTGAGGCCATATTGGTGTTTTACGGTATTTGCACCAAAGCTGTCTCTTAAAGAAACATATGTAAATACAAATTTCATGTGTGGGCAGGACCTTCTTGCTACTACATTGGTTAGACTAGAAATATCAGGTTGGTGCAAGCATGTACAAGGCTAAGTATTAATTCTACTTTCTTTGAATGTATCTATCTGGAATGAAGACAAGTGTTTCCTCTGGATGAGAATTGTTTTGACAGAAAGGCATAGAAGATGGAGCAGTCTATCCTTGTGTCTGACTGGTGCTTTTTCCCACACAAACTCCCTATAAGCAGAAAAGAATTGAAGACGATGGTGCATTTTATGGAAGACATAAAAAGTAGCTGCAGAAGCAAACCCAATGACATTGTTAGGATAAAGGTCATACCCTAGTATGGAACACATGGAAGAAGTGGAGGTTCTGTAGCATAGCATTTCCTTTAAGAAACCAACCTGTGTTCATGCTAGGTAGTTTTAAATGGGTCTTATCTGTATATTATGACACAGGCTGAAAGAAGATATCAAGAAAGCAACTAAGGAGTTATACTATGGATCCAACGTAGGCACACAGGAAATCTCTGTTAACCTCTACATTTACTGACAAAGAGTATTTACAAAGGGCTATTTCATTTTTTTGGAATCCACTAACGATAGCATCCAGAAGTAACCATAAGATTTCTTTCACGTTTACTGAAAAACAACTCCCATCTTAATAGCTCCACAGTAGTTCCATACTTAAGTTCCTGTGAGAGTATTAAGTGTTCTCCATTCTTACAGATACAATTGCATACTGAGTAACATTGATGCAAGTTGCTTTAAACTATCTTTATACTGCAAGTGTTTTCACAGGCTATTCATTATGAAGTTAAAAGGCAAAGTATGCAAGGAATTACTCTTTTAAATAATATAGTTTAACACCTCTTGCATTCAGCACATTGCCTCCTTTTTGCTACCTTTGCACAATTCTTTCTTATCGTCGCAACATATTTATATTTTTAAGTATTTTTCCTATTTAAGTTTAGAAGGTGGGAAGAAACTGAGCCAAAGTTTAGAGACTTCTTCAAGATAAAACCTGCACATTTTACCAAATAAGATATGAATTGCACAAAGATATAAACTGCAGTACATCCTTTAAGAGAAAGATTTAAACTGTATCATATATGTAATAATCATCTTTCAACGCTTTTAAACAGACATAATAGTACAAATGCAGCACAAACATTAATTATTTCAAAATTTGTCCTCACATCTTAATCAGACTAAAGGTTTTTAACTTGGTCAGGGTCTCCCATCTCCTTTTCATTTCAGAAAATTTGACAATTTAAAACATACTTCCTTTTAAGGCTTAATAATTATCAAGCAATGCTTTGATATGATATGACATTCTCAAATGACTAATTAGTTTATTCTAAATTAGTCTGATTTATCCTCCTTTTGGCTGTTAAGTTGCAGCCAGTCCCGATGAGACCTGATAGGCTAGGGTCAGATAGAAGGGGAAGAGGCCCTCCCCTATAAAGGGACTAGGGAAAGGGTTCATAGGAAGAGAAGAGGGAAGATGGGTGGGACTGAGAGGAGATGAGGGAGGGAATCACAGCGGGGATAAAAAGTGAATAAATTGTAATAAATAATTAATAAAAAATTGAAAAGGAAGTTATAAAAACATTTTTTCAGATATAATGGAATCTTATTAGAAAAACTGGTATATGCATTATTTTGATAGTATAAAAATCAATACAAACTAGGTAAACCACATGTAATTAAAGGACAAGTAGATGCCTATGAACTTAAAGCTAAATACACAAATGAGTTTCAAATATGTTTTGGGGGTAGAACATTTTTTTTTTTCAGCTAGTAAAACTTTAGCTTCTGCTCACAAACTTCCCAAGGGCATCACAGTAGAGAACGCAAGCACCTCCCACAAGGAATGAGAAGCTGTCTTTACCTCTAAGTATCTGAGAACCCAGACATGGTTTCACACTTTGAGGCATAAAACTCACTCTTACACTACTAACCTCACAGGTCTTTTCACACATACATTCCCTTCCTCCAGAGCGTTGCCACAGCCACAGGCTTGATGCGGCTAGGTCTCATTAACCTTGTTTTGGGTTACATGCCAGGTCTGGATTGTCAGCATCTCAGTGGGAGGCATCGGTCATAATGCAGCTACATCCTCATTTTAAACTTTTAGCAAGATTCTCTGCCTCCTTCTTTCAGATCCTCCCTTTTTCTCCCCCTCCCTTCTTCCCTCTTTCTTTTTTTTTTTCTCCCTACTGAATATATACATGAGGGTGACTCTCCATTTTGAAAGCTAGCTGTCACATTTGTAACTGTTTTCTAAGTTTTGAGAGTTGGGTTAGATGCGATGGAAGTCAGTGTCGATCTTCAACTACAGATGCTCACACTCTGTGACAAAATAATTCTGATAATGTTTTCAGCAGCTAATGAACATCCAGTTAAATCATGGAAACTAACAATTATCTTCTCTGTAACCTTAGATGCCATAGGGGTTTCTCTCATCTGTGGAGCTAAACGGGCACCAGATACCTTCCTTGAGTTAATTTCTTATCTCTTGAGAAAGCTGCTTTATATTTATTTATTTATTTATTTTTTTACTGTGCACAAAATTCTCTCTGGTTGGTCGATCATTCCTCTCAGGTAACAACAGTGTGCTACAGAAATACACAAAACACTGGTCTATGGGTGAGGTCAGACCGGGGTGGGGTTTGGGGGTGCATTCTCCGTCTGATAGAACACAGTACCAACAAATGTGCCTTGCAGCCTGCTTGGCCAGCCTACTGGGCCGACAATCTTCATCTGCTCCTCTGCTCCAGCCCAACTTCAAAGGTTCTCGCTAAGGAAGGTTGAGGAGCCACTGTGCCAGATCAAAGCCACAGTCATTTCAACTGAGAGCTACATGCTTCCATTTTATCTGCCCCGTTTTTTCAACTCTTCCACATCGACTTCAAGGCAACTTAAAGCAAGTTCAGAAGCTATATGATGCAGCAGCTGTGCACCTGAAAAATTATCAGTGCTACTCCTAGAGATGACATGTGCCTTGGGACTAGGGGATGGTTGCCAGAAGTAAGTTAAACAGGACCATTAGAACCCAACCTGTGCTGTCCTAAAATGAAACTAGCTTATACTCAATTCATCATTCCTTTCACCTAAGCCGACTGAATCTCACAGTGCAAGATCGTGGCTATTTGCTAGGCACTGGCATCTGGCCAATTGGAGTTATTTTTAAATTTTTGTTTGTTTATTTTTCTCTTTTCTAATTAAGTTAAAAAGATGAATTATGCCGTCAGTGTGGGCTCAGTGCAGGATTTATGATTCTTCTAATCTTCCTTTAAGTAGTTAACCCTTTCAAGCCTGGCGGCAGTGCGCAAATATTCCTCTGCTGTGATTTCTCCCTTTCCCTCTTTAACCCACATATCCTTGTCAATGATAGTCAACTGATAGGAAAAGGAACTGAGGATTTCCAGGGCAAAAGTTTCAGAATCGTGGTTTATCACCTCGACCTTCTCTCTGGGCTCCCCTTACCCTTTCCCCTCTGAACTTCTAGTTCCCAGCTGCTTGGGGATGGTAGAAGCGCAAGCGCAAAGTGCCAGGCTAGACAAGCCAGTCTCTCCAGCTGATAAGGCTATCAAGGTACCCTGGTGCTGAGTCGAAGACCTTCTCTGTCGGAAAAGCCCCCCAGTGCTTCTCAGCTGGCTACTCAACCCAAGTCAGCCACAGGGAAAAAGAGAGAGAGAGAGAGAGAGAGAGAGAGAGAGAGAGAGAGAGAGACGCAATCCAGGAGGAGGGAGTGAGCACTGACACTTCTCCCTAGATACACAGCTGAGGAAGTTAACCAGTAGCTAAGTTGGGAGAGTAATTGCCTATGGCGGAGAATTAAGAGGCTAAAGCTCTCAGCTGAGAGCCAGCGCCAAAGGGAGTCTCAAAGAAATGCGAATTCTCATCCAACATCTGCAGCGCTTGGGATGGCCGGGCAGAAGCCAAAGCCAAATCCGAATGTTCCCAGGGGAAAAGGGACAGACAAAAACCAGGACCTAAAAACGACCAAGGGTAAAATGTCGGGGCGCGGAACACTCTGGCACCTAGTTCAGAAACCCTCCAATAACCCTCTCCCCCCCACCCTAGGAGTCTAGCGCACAGTGGCCAGCGGGTCCCGGGAGCGGAGCTGCCAAGGACTTAAGTTTCACAGTTGTCTGGCAGCATCACCCCTCAAGAAAGCCGAGGGAGGAAACGGGGAGGAAGCGGGGGATCGCGGTCCTTACCTTGGTTGGCTCCCACGGTCAGCACCCCGGCTTTAGGCAATAATCCCGAGAGAGTGAGGATGGCAAGGAGCAACTGGGACATGATGGTCTCCCCGGTGAGCCGGTGCTGCAGACTGCTCGGCGGCACCCTCCGCCCGGCCGCGGCGGCTGGCAGCCTGGAACGGAGCCGCGTCATTTACAAATGTCACTGGAAATCCCTGGTCGGTGGGTCCAGCCAGTCCGCCTTGCTCTGCCAGGAGCAGGATGTGGAAGGTGTGCGAAAGCGCGCCTGCGGAGAGCGTGCGAGCGCCAGCCCGGCGCTGTGTGTCTGGACTTTTCGATGCAGGATACGTCTGATCTTACATCACGCAAGAGGGGCAGAGAGATGCCCGCCGATGGGAATTCACTATTAATCACCGAGGCCTCAGCACTCCCCTCCGTCGCCCACAGAAATCACATCTATTACTAGTAAGAGGCGGTTAACACGATGGGGAACAGCAGCAAATGAGAGCCCCACAAATCACTGCTCCTTCAGCCTCCTTGAAGGGAAAGTAACTCCGCGGTGGTTCTGTGGGGATCTGGGTCCTTAGCTAAAGACGGACCGCAGTGGGCCAAGCAAGGCAGGCTCCAGAAAGCATCGCCAGCCAGCTGAGATGTTCCCCACTCTTGAGCCTTGCAAACCGCTTCTCAGGCAAAGCTGATTTGATGTCTGGGCTGTACAAGGAAGCGTCCTTCCGGAGAAGCCAATGCAAGCCAGGACGTTGTTTCTCTTAGGGAAATGGTTTCCTCCACTTGACAGCTCGCAGAGCGTTCCCAAGTGCACTAGTAACTTTTATGCTGAGTGGCACTTGGGGACAGAGATGCAAAATTAGTGACTCAGCAGAAACAAAACAAAAATGTCTAAAGTCACTAACCATTACAGTTACACACACACACACACACACACACACACACACACACACACACACACA